TTCCTCTACTTCATACACAACGCTAACCATATACACCCACGATATACACATATGCAGGCACGGACACAGAACTGGCCGGTAAACCTATTATATCTCTCTCTCTATATATATATATCATCACAAACAGAACTGCCCGGTAAACTGTAGGCAGAGTATATATATATATATATATATATATATATATATATATAGTCACAAATAGAACTGTCCTGTAAACCGTGGGCAGATAGAACTGTCCAGTAAACCGTGGGCAGAGAGGGAGAAGAGAACAACAAACGAGTGGTTGTGACAAACTGTTTCGTCGGAGTTTCACCGACTCATCAGGAGGTTGAATATATGTATATATATCGTCACAAATAGAACTGCCCGGTGAACCGTAGGCAGAGAGGGAGAAAAGGACAGCAAACGAGTAGCTGTGACAAACTGTTTCGTCGGAGTTTCACCGACTCATCAGGAGGCTGAATGTATGTATATATATATATCTATATACATATATATATAGTCACAAACATAAGTGCTCGGTAAACCGTTGGCAGAAAGAAAAAAAAAGACAACAAACGATGAGATGTGTGAGAAACTGTTTTGTTAGAGTTTGACGGACTCATAACGAGGCTGAACCGTTGACAAACTGACTCGACACACTGAACTCATATCATGAACACGATAGTATAAAAAAACAACAACCCTGTTCAATTTATTTTTTTCCTTTCTTTGGGCAGAAGAAAAAAAAAAAAATGAAAACATATATATATATATATATATATATATATATATATATATATATATATATATATATATATACAGTTTGTCACAGCTCGTCGTTTGTTGTCCTCTTTTTTCTCTCTTTGCCAATTTTTCATAATAGACAACCTACAAATAAAGTATAAAAAAAGAATATTTTTTTTCAGGCCCCTAAATAAAGGGAAAACAAAAAGTGAAAAGAGAAAACAAACAAATTTGTAATTCGGAAAGCAAGTTTTGAGACCACCATCTTTGCCGATTTTTCATTACTTTTTTGCTCCGCTTATTTACTTCCAAATTGAGAGAAACGTAGCTTACATAACAGAGAACTCAGAAAAATAAAAATTCAGAATAAATAAAATATTGAGAAAGGTAGCTTTGAAATTGAGATCTCAGAGAAAGGTAGCTTCCAAATTGCTCCGAAATATGTATATATATATATATATATATATATATATATTGTGTTTGGACACACATTGTGATCCGTGGTACTGTGCTTTCGCGTGTGCAGGTGCGTCTGCCCTTCCGCATCCATATAGTAGGAGCATCAACATGGACCGCGAACAACCTCATGCAGCTCTGTCGCCGTCGCCGAAATCCCCGTTGCTTCCTACTCCTATCTCTTCATCTCCATCCGCCTCACACGCTCTTTCTTCTTTGCAAGGCTCTCCGGTGTACCATGATATTTCACACGGTCGAGGGAGAGGTCTTTTGGATCCACGCGGACGCAGTCGAACGGATTGTATATTGGAGAGACCTGCAACCAGGCAGCGTTTGGATGACGGAATGGCCGTTCTGCCGTTCCCTCCTTTGCTCAATTCGACAAATGTCACACAAACTCCTCTCCTGAGTCACATGCGTGCAACCATTGCTGCAATCCCGACTCTCCCGACTTTTGTTGGCGATCCCACAACGTCTTCGTTTGCGCAATCCGCTGTGCTTTCTTCTCGTCCTTCATTTTCTTCGCCCATGGGCTCTCTTGCAGCGATGTTGCCGACTCCTTGGTCCGGAAGTCAGAGCATGTGCGGTATTCAACAAAGTCGTTTAGACGTCGAACATCCATTTGGTTTGCCGCGGTCGTTCCCGTGTTCGGGCCATGACAACTCCGACGCGGTTCCCGTTGCGGGTGTCTTTGCGTCGGATCCTGTTTGTCGAACAGAAGAGACACGTTCACCGATCGAAGCACTGCAACCGACATTATGCACTCCGGTTTCCAGCAACCGTGCACACGATGTTTTTTCCCCGGTTGATGATAGCGAGGCTGGGATGAGTTTCTCGCCTCGATCGCCACGTACGAGGTCCAGTACATCTCGTGAAGGAAAGCCTCATTGTGCGATGTAGACTTGATCAAAAAAATCGCCTGGGTGAGATTGCGAAGGCGATGGGGAAGAAGTTGTCGACTAGCACTCGAGGCTCCAAAGATAAGAAGAAAAATCATTGTTCGTACGAGGACGTGTTCGATCAGCTCATGGAGTGGAGTTCCGTTCATATTGATGAGCTGATATCAAAGTACGGGCCCGGCGAACAATCGTCTGGCCATGGGGGCTCATGCGGACAAGGATCGGACGCAACGGCGACACCAAAGTCGCGAGGTGGCAGACCTCGCAGTGACGCATTGAAATGGCGTGACGGCAAGCCGGGATATTCGCATAATGGTCCGATGTTTGAACGATTGAGCGTGAGGGACCAAATGTGCATGTGGGATGCTAAAGCAATACCTGATGTCGTTTTCATTGAGCCGGTCAAACTTCTTCACATTCTCGGGATGTTCGAGCAAACGTGTCCTCGACACGGGAAAGACGTTGAGGTGACGATCAAGCAGATCCATTATCCATGTCACATTTGCAAGTTGCAATTCGAGTGCGGGAAAGGGTGCACATGGCACTGGAGCTCCGCGAAGGTTGTTTCACCGGGCAGGGTGAGAAATTCGAGGGTTGAGACTCAATTGTCCCACTCCACTTTGACTGCGGGAATGACTTACACTCAATTGAATAACCTCTTGCGGGGTTTAGGGATGAGGAAGGTCAAGAAATAAACTTTCTATAATGTTTTTCGTGATGACGGCCCAGGTTCCCGACAATGGCTGCGACACGTCGAACGGGTTACTAAAAAGAGCTTCGACAAGGTCATCGCGCGATTGCGTAGGTCGAACGATCCGGTCGTCGTTTTGGTTGATGGGCGTTACGATTCGTCTCGTGACGCTCAGCATTGTACGGTGACGGCGGTGGATTTGAAGTCAGGAATGATCGTGGGGACGGAGACCATGCTCTGGGGGAACGAGTCGTCATGGAAGCTGGAGACGCAGTTTCTCGAGAAACTGCTACATCGGTTGAAGGACGAGAATAACCTCATAATCGCAGAGGTTGTGCATGATGATTGTGGCACGGTTGACGTCATATTGCGGCGAATGAACATTAACTCACAAAAGTGTATGTGGCATAAGGCAAAGACTTTTGTCAAACGCTTGCGAGAGGCTGTGCGAGGCACGAAGACTGTCAAACCAGCTGCAGTCGGGGCTTGCGAGCATGTGCACGAGGTGAAGTGTTTCACAAAGAAGGAGCTCGAACTTTGGCTCGAATCGAAATGTGTAAACGTGGCAGGGGTGTCCACGAGAAAAAAGGATGAACTCGTTGAGATTGTTTGGGGCGTGCTCTTCCCTGACGAAGCAGGGAAAGCATTGCCAGATGATGTCGTCGAGATCGACGCGTTGCAAACACTTCATTGCAATGCGGCGGAGGAGGCAAAGGAGTGGTTGTACGGCGCTTGCAGGCTACGCGAGCGTGCAAAGGATGACGATGGCGATGTGTTGGTCACGCATGTGCAACACCTCGCCGATCATTGGGCCGGGGATCACTCCTGTTGCGATAAGGAGTTGTCCAACCTGTGCAAAGCGGCTGGGGGTCCGGACAGGGATCCATTGTACGAGGGGGGGAGGCGTGTTCATTTCGCTGTCGCGCGCTGTCTTCAACAGTTCGCTTCGAATACGAAGATGGCGTACTACACACGTGCGACGATGACCTTCAATAACGAGTGCTTCCACTCTATGATCAACAAGTACGCAATGAAACGCTTGAACTTCCCCAAGTCGTATGAGGCGCGCGTGTGTTGCACCACTTTGGAGTGAAACAAAAACAAACGAATCAGGCGATTGCGAACGGTCTTCCGCAAACCAACAAGCGTAACCCATCGACGTCGTTCCGCACGACAACATATATACGCCGCACGAGATACGTCGTGACGCTTCGACATAGCAACTGCAGTTTTTGGCAGCCCTCGGGTCGGAGATTGGGCACGTAACATGTTGTAGCAATCGGACATCGACGACCCAGTTATTGAGCATTATGATGAGGAGGCCAATTATAGACTCCCTGATGCCGTTGAGAGTGCGGTGGAGGGTGTTGTGGCCGAAGGTGACGATGTTTACGTTGAGGCGGGAAGCGAAAGTGCTTCAGATGACGAAAAGTCGTCTTCCGACTCCGACACCGATGGTGTTGCTCACCGCCTCGACTTTGACGGCGCCGTTCTTTCACAGTCGGTGTCCGTTGCGCAGGAGTGATAGTGTTACGTACTACATCGATGCCCATTGTCGTCGTCATAATCATTAGAATGTTATGTCCTCGATTTGAACAGGTTGTGAAAACTGGTTGTGAGAACAGGTTGTTCGAACTGGTTGTGATGACTGGTTGTTCGAACTGGTTGTGAGAACTGGTTGTAATTTTGAACTGGATGTCATAACTGGTTGTTCGAACTGGTTGTGAGAAATGGTTGTAATTTTTGAACTGGTTGTGAGAGATGCTTTTCATGTATACTAATTGTATATATGTTTTGTGTACACTTTGTGATAACCGGTTTTGAATATATATATATATATATATATATATATATATATATATATATATATAGAGAGAGAGAGAGAGAGAGAGAGAGAGATCATATGTAGATATGTGCCCATGTGGCGAAATTGATAAATGCAAAACAATACGATCTTATTTCCCTGCATCTCCATCCGTATCTCTTTCTCTCTCTCTCTCTTTCTCTCTCTCTCTCTCTCTCTATATATATATATATATCTTTTTTTTCTCTCTCTCTCTCTCTCTCTCTCTCTCTCTCTCTCTCTCTCTCTCTCTCTCTCTCTCTCTCTCTCTCT